ACTTAAGGTTGATGAAGGAAGTTATGGTTTAGGAGGGTTAAATTTTAAGACTCAGGTTATAGCTAATGTAGGTTTTTCTTTTTCCAATCGTAATTTAATAATTCGTACTTTCACAAGAATTCAATATTGACGAAGGAAGATTATATAATCTATATAATGGAAACAGAGTTACGACGAAGCATTGAATACTCCTGAAAGGGTTGTTAGAGAAATAAATTACGTTTCAAGTTCTTGGATGTTCGATGAAAATCAATCAAAAGGAACCTGGATCGATTATTGCTTACCGTGCCAAATCGTTGTACCTGAAGAAAGAGTCATTGATGGAGAATACATTTGGTATGACATTAAATGTAAAATATTTGATGCTGACGGGTTTCAGAGAAATGATTTGGTAAGGAATTTTTTATATTTCACCTTAAACAATTTTTATCGCATTACCATCGTGACTTCTAGTATTTAACAAACTTGTGTATAATAATAGCATATTGATTATGTCAAACTATTGCACCACTGTGATAGGAGGGAGCAATGATTCTTTAGGAGAATCATATTGAGAAGGTGAATTATCGTAATGAGAATAACGACGAGGAAATTTATTGTAAGGAAATCACGATAATGAGAATTGTTGTGAGGAAAATGATTAAATTATTCTGTATACCAAAATCAAAGTTTTCTTTGATTCTTATTTTGTGAAATACTGTATGTAGCTTTTTAAAATATAATACTATTTATTAAATTAAAGCATATATTTTCTCATATGCTGTTAAAAGTAATAGCACATTACCAATGCGATATCTTATTGTATAATTATGTTTTCGAATTTAACAATCCATTCGGTTTTATCATATTTAATTTTCGACAAAAGCTTTTAAAAAAATTTCTATTAATGCAATATATTTTTTTCAATGAATTATTGTACTCACTGTATGAGCATTATGTAAAATCTAATTTCTTTAATTTAATGTTTCTTAAAATACTTACCCAGTAGCTATTTGAAATACGTTGAAATTTAATTATATCATATACTGTATATAAATAATAAAACTAACGGTCATTTAAAAATGATATATCTCGGATGGTGATGAAACGATTTTGTCGTGGCAACCTAAAAATAAAAATAATTTGAGAAAATATTAAGAAACGAACAAAAAGGTCGATTTAAAATGAGTGAAAAATTCCACTTGGATCATTTCCAGAAGAAACATTCAAACATTCTCTTTTTTTATCCATCGCTTTGCGCTTAAGATTTTATGATCGAACATATTTAAAAATTTTTTATATAATTTAATGAGAAAATAATAGTAGAACAATAACACATTATATATATATGCCATGTTTAAAATAAGAAAACATAAAAGATAAATTTTCACAATTTAAATTTAATCGTTTGAATTATATATTTTTTGAATTTTAAGACAGTGATATAAATATTATTGCAAAAATATTTATTTTTAAGTTTTGTGTAATATATAAAAATTTAATATATATATATTAAAAAACTGTTACAAGTTATTATATTATTAATAATTTTTGTTATTTTATAAGAAAAACCTGAACATGAATTTTTTTTTATAAATAATGAAATTAACGAAATTATTTTTAAATATAAAAATTAATATAATAATAATTTCAAAAAATTTTATTAAAATATTTTATAAAAAAAGAATGAATTAATAAAACAATTTAAAATTTAAAAACCGTTTATAAAATTTTATCAAGATTATTGATTTTTATCATATAATAAATAAAAATAAAATTTAAATTATTATATTTTTTTTATTAAAAATTTTATTTTATTATTATTATTAAATATATTGTTAATAAAAAATAATATATAAATTATATTATAAAATGTAATAGGTTAATGAGTTTGATAAAAATGAAATATGATAATAAATAATAAAATAATATATAATTAGATAAATATAATAATAACTTTGTTAATTATTTTTAAAAGATATTTGTTTTTTGTTTTTTTTTAATACTTTTATTAATTATATTTTATAAAATTATTAATATATAGTATATATTTTTTATTTATATTAAAATTTTCAATAGGAATTTATATTTGAATTTTTAAAAATCAAAAAACTATTTTAAATTTAATATTAATAAATATACTATAAAATCTTTAATTATATATATAAGAAAATATTAAAAATTTTATTTTAGAAATAACAATTTTGATTTAAACTTGATTCAAACTTAAAATTTTTGAAAATAATAATTTTTTAATGTTGATTTAAAACAAAATATAAATAAAAAATTTTATAACAATATATAATATAAAATAAAAATAATTAAAAAAAATCAAACCCTAATGCAACTCTACAAACTAATCTGGATA